CTTAACCCTTTAACTGCCCGCTCAACCATTTGGTTGAGCACATTTTGGGTCTCTATATCTCAACATGAGGGGTGCCTAACTTAGCTTAACCTGATTGAGCCATCTCTGCCACTTGCTTGAAGTATGATATGCTAAAGAAATTAAATAGAGGGCACTGTTTCTTTAAATTGCATTCTTCTTCTTTCCCTCTCCAACCAGGAAGTCAGAAACACAAAAACTCTGTCACAAATATCGACTGGTTGTGGTAAAACTTTGAGAAGTAGGAATAGTTTTCTGGCATATGATAGTGTTATAGACCCTATTAAACAGAATTATGTTACTTTATACCACCTAAAAAACTAAATTAAAGGTCTAATAATTTTTTAAAAATATGCTCAACCAAACGGTTGAGATGTCACTTAATGGTAAAAGTAGCAAATTAAGCTAATGTAGTTGACATTTATTTTTTTGGTATAAAATCAAAAGTCATTTTCCTCTACTGGTGCAAATATGAAGCAAGTGTTATTACAGTGTCATACACTAAGAATAATTACAACAATATCTTACACTTTTTTTGTGACTTTCTGAGTTGATATTAGTAAATATGGTAACATTTTAGAATAAATGTGGGGAAATTATGATTTTCACTACTACTAACTAATTTAAACTTTTCAACCACCACTATTTACAATAAATCCTTCTAAGTTGTGAGACCACGCAGTCTTCTTGCCATTTTACCAAAAAATCCTCAAGAATCTGATGGTGTTCTGAGCAATGATGACCAAGAAGAAGTTCCCTTGGAGCAGCAAAATGACAACGCAGACCCAAATTACACCTCAGACTACAACAAAAGCCCAAGAAGAATCTGGAAGCAGGAAGACATTGATGAGTTCCAGATTCTGAATTCAAGATTTGAACCCCCTGAAGCTCTGCCCTCACCCTATCCTGCCCCTAACCCTATCCCTATCCTAACCTTACCCTAACCCTACACTAACCCTTTCAGTATTTCAAAATGTTCTTCACTAATGAGATGATTGAACGTATCACACATCACACCAATTTGTACTCTGCTCAAGAGCTGGGGGATAAAATCAAGACTAGCCCTGAAGAAATACAGCATTTCCTAGCGATCCTTCTTTTTATGGGTGTTTTCAATTTCCTGTCACTGGAGGACTACTGGCACCATGAATCATGCTTTGACCTGATTGCTGACACTGACTGAAGATAGGAAAAATTAAAATGTAATATTTCCTTGTTTGACGCAATGTTTTTCTTGGTTGAAATTAAAATCAGTCAACAGGGTCTGTTGATTGTGTTTTTTGTGGCATTTTGACAGAAATAAACTGTATCCATTACCCCAGACATTTTTTTGTTGTTTATTTCTTCATAAATTAGCATTTTATTTTAATTTATCTACTGTACTTGGTATTTTTATTAGGTCATGTACAAACCTAGTGATGGTTGAAAAGTTTAAATTAGTTAGTAATAGTGAAAATTATGATTTCCCCATATTTATTCTAAAATTTTACCATATTTGTTAATATCAACTCAGAAAGTCACAAAAATTCTTTTGTAAGATAATGCCATAATTATTATTAGTGTATAACACTGTAATAACACTTCTTGTTTCATATTTGCACCAATAGAGGAAAATGACTTGATTTTATACTAAAGAAATAAATGTCAACTACATTAGCTTAATTTGCTACATTTATTATTAACTTGCATCTCTATTTCCAAAACCACAGGGTCTGTTGAAAAAAAATATTGATTGTGTTTATGAATCACCCTAGGGTAAAAGAAATGCAAATAAAAAAATTTTCACAAGTTTTTTTCTAGGTGCGGCAGTTAAAGG